CAAAATAGCAGCTTCCTTTTTAAAATATCTTTTTTAGATCAAAAGTTATTGGCTTTTAAAGTTTGTGTAGTCTTTAAGTGTTGTGCACTGTACTAGATGGGTCAATAAATATAATTAAATTTTTTATATTATCTTTATATTTATAAAAATTTTAATATTATTCAAATTTTTTAATTTTATCTTTATATCAAGCTTATCCTATAATAAAAATATAATTTATTTGTTAAAACTACTTTATTATTTAAAGGATTTAGTTTTTTCATATACTTATGGTCAGCTAATCAAAACCAATTACAGTTTTTTTAGAATAAATAAAGTTTTTTATTATAAAAAAAAAAAAATAAAATACAAAGCGATGAACTACAGAATCTAATACTATAGCAAAATACTAATACAAACTAAACTATATAGAGACTTACAAACAAGCAATGATACTAATAGTTCTAATATCAATAACATCAATAGTTCTAATATCGACAACTCTAATAACAAATCACATTTAGATAAAAAGAACATTAATAAATATAGAAATAAAAAAAATAATATAATAATATATGAATAATACTTAGGGGCATCCATAAATAATATTATGTACTCCTACATAGTAACTCTTGACCCCCTAGACTATATAAAAAAAAATTAAAAATCTGTATATTTATATATAAATTTTTAAAAAAAACTTTGATTATCTTGTAACCTAGTGATCTAAATTAGATAAATTTGGTACTATTAAATTCATTTCAATAAGAGGAATTCAATAGTATTAAAATTATTTAATTTGGATCACTGGATCAAAAGATATGGACAAAAAACTGTTAATTATATAGTAATTTCATATAAAATAAAATAACCAATAGTTTTTTGCCAATATCTTTTGATATAGTGATCTAAATTGATAATTTTGGTACTATTAGATTCCTCTCACTGAGACAAATCTAATAATACCAAATTCATCCAATTTAGACTACTGGGTCACAAGATATTAATATTTTTATAAAAAAATTGGGTTATTTTCCTACGACTCCCCTCTAATTTAGCAAAAAATATAAAAAAAATATTATTTTTGTGAAACCTTCCCCTCTTGTATAACATTATTTATAGATGCCCTTATACTGACTCTAACAATAATCCTGATAATACCAATAGTGATATCTCTGAAAATAGCTTCAACTCTAAAAATAACAATTCTAAGAATAACAACTCCAAAATGATGATAGCTTTAACTAAAGATAACAAGAATAATTAAATTGGATCTAGAAGAAAAAATAAAATATATTAGCTAAATAAAAAAAACAGAACATAAAAAAAACAAGAATAAAAAAAATATGAAAAAAAAAGAAAGAAGTGAAAAAAAAAAAAACAAAACAAGAAAATGAAAAAAAAAGAAAAGCAAAAAAAGAAACAAAAAGAAAAAAAAGAAAAAACAAAAAAGACAAGCAATATTTACGCCAACTCTCTCTGACGATCACTTAAATCAAAATTTACCAAACGCAAGATAAAGAGTTGAAGCCTAAAGTCTTAGTAAAACTTCTATCCCCGGTAATGGAGTATTGTCGACAAAGACTGCAAATGTGATACACCGAGACGCGGACAACTGTATGTTGGTTTCAGAGGGGTCAAGCTTCTTCTCTTGGTGGACTCCTCTTACGTATTTGTATCCAAACCAAAAGGATATTTTGGGAATACTATAGTGCAGAAATCTATGTTTAGAAGAAAGAAAAGACTAAAGGATGAAACAAACAGATTAAAAAGCATTTTCTAAATTTGGAACCTCGCAAAACTACTTTTCCTTGGGCCTTTTCTTTTTTCTTCATAATTTTCGACAAAAGTGAAAGATTTGGCTACCCTCTTCAAAAGATTGGCAAAAGATCGGCATTGTTTACCACTTCCATTCTCGGCAAGTCTCAAGTTGCAATATGACGAATTAGGAAAAACAACAAACACGTGTGAGAAAGAAGTTTTGAGACTGAAATTAAAACTGATGATTACGTGTCGAGGCTTTGAAGTTGGACGTTCCAGGACCCAAGTTGGATTTAATATGAGAGTTGGCAACTGGAGCAGTATTATAAGATATGCAATAGTTTGAAGTCATAGGCATATAATTTTTATCCCTTAGCACAGATTAAAGTGCACCTTAGTGTCTTTTGTCAAATAGCTCTATATATAGATTTCTATAACCATGTAGATAGTTTTTTATCTGGTTAGCAGGTTTTTATATCTGTAGACAAGTTCTCTTAGATTTTAGAATAATTTTTTTAACTCCTTTATAATTTGGTCATCTTTTTTGTATGTTCATTTTTTTTTACTTACTTTTTTTCATTCTATACTTACACTTTTTTTTTCTTTTTTACTTCTCTACGAGAAAGTGTTATCAAATTGGTGGTACTCTATTGTAGAGCAGTGATTTTGACAAGGTCGGTGAAACTATTTGTTGATATCCGGGGTTTATATCCTCAGTAAATTGAGAATCTCAGAAGGAGAAAAATTGTCATTTAGACGGGTCGCTCCTGGATTATACTCTAGTGCTTAATTATAGTTAACTATAATTTTGCTATGATAATGAGACAGATCAAGAGATTCTTTATTTGGACAAGCATATAGTATTCTTACAAAATAACATAGGTTTAGCTAACTAAGATATCTTAATATAATTTACTGCTGATTTATAAAATAAAGGAAAGATTGCTAAAGTAAAAAAAACGATCAACAAAACAAAAAAAATAAAAAAAAGCAACACCCAAAATAAAAAAAAAAGAAAAAAATGCAAAAAAAAAAAAAAAAAAAAAAAAAAAAAAAAAACTAAAAAAAACTAAAAAGAAAGGAAACTCCAAAAAAAGAAGAGAAAATAAAAGAAAAAAAATAAAAACAAAAAGAAAAAAAGCAGAAAGCAAAAAAAAACAAGAAAAAAAACAAGAAAAAAAAACAAGAAAAAGAAAAAAGAGAAAAAAAAAAAAAAAAAAAAAAAAAAAAAAAAAAAGTAAAAAAAAAAGAAAAAGAAAAAAAAAAAAAGTAAAAAGTAAAAAAAAAAACAAGAAAAAAAATAACTAAAAAAATAAACTGAAAAAATGAAAAAAAAAGAATAAAAATAACAAAAAAAAAAAGATAAAAGCAAAAAGAAAAATGAAAAAATGAAAATGAAAATGAAAAAAAGAGAAAAAACAAAAGAAAAAAAATAAAAAATAAAAAGAAAAACAAAAACAAAAGGGAAAAAAAGTAAAAAGTAAAAAAAATAAAACAAGAAAATAATTAGAAAAATAAAAAAAATGAAGAGAAAAAATAAAAACAATGAAAGAAAAAAGATAAAAGCAAAAAGAAGTAAAAGCAAAGTAGCAAAAAAGAAAATAGCAAAGCAAAGTAGCAAAAGAAAAAATAGCAAGATAAAAATAGCAGAAGAGAAAGCAGCAAAGCAAAAGCAGCAAAAAGAGAAAACAGCAAGTCAAAAGCAGCAAGGTGAAAGCAACAAAAACAAGTGAAGCAAAAGCAATAAAAGCAAAAATAGCAAATTAAAAGCAACAAACTAAAAATAATAAAAACAATAAAAGCAAAAGTGGTAGCAAAAAGCAACTGGTAAAAAAAAATAACAATTATCAAAATATATAATTACTAATTTTATTAGCTAATTATATAGAGTATACAAGTATATGGGTATATAGAAAATATTTTCTTATTATTTTATATTTTTTATATATTGACTACTATATTTTATATTTTCTTCTAATCATTTATAATCTAGCTAATATAATTAAGTTTCAACAAATTATCATTATATATAAAATATAACAATTAATATATCTTTGTATACAATAACTATATATTGTTCTTAATATTTGCAACAATAATAAACTTAAAAAATAATACAAAACATATTACTTTTTTTTTTAATATCAAAGTGACCTCATGGTCAGTTGCCTTTATTAGTTTATGTGCTAAACTAATCAATGTTAGCTGCTGCTTCTTTAGTATATAGTTTTGGAGAGTATAACTAGCTATATATACAATTTTTAATTGCCTATTTAAGTAGTTCACTCGAAGGTTTGATACTAGATACTATACCTATAATCCAACTAAAAAATTATTTATTTAAACTCTTTGCACTGCTATATTTTTATAAGGAACTAATACTTGTCATAAGAAGCATCCCAATTTAAGGCTAATTTACTCTCAAAGTAAACTTGCTAAAGCTTTTTATACTTACAATCTAGCTAATCTAGACTTCAGTAATTTATGCCAAGTCTAAAAACAAGTACATCAGGAAGTATAACTAAACACTTATCAAGTACTTACTAAGTACTTATTAAGTACTTATTCTAATTACTTATTAAA